TTAGATAAATTCAATAGAATGTTATGGGTGTACCTGATAAAGACCAAAGGAGAAGCTTTAAACATGTTCAAAAGGTTTAAGGCCATGGCTGAAAAACAAAGTGGAAGAATGATTAAGATACTCAGGATAAATGGAGGAGGGGAATACAATTCCCATGAATTTAAGCAATTCTGTCAAGAAAGTGACATCCTTCATGAAGTTACTCCCTTACACACCTCAACACAATGGTATGACTGAAAGAAGGAATAAAATCCTGGTTAAAATGGCTAAGAGCATGCTGAAACAAAAGTCATTACCTCATAAATTCTGAGGTGAAACGGTGTCTACTGCTCCTTATGTTCTAAATAGATGTCCTACCAAGAATTTAAAGAATCAGGTGCCATAAGAATGTTGGTCAGGAAGCAAGCTTTCCATCACTCATCTCAAGGTATTTGGATCATTATGCTATAGACATGTGCCAGATGAAAGAAGAACAAAAGTTGAAGATAAAAATGAACCTATGATCTTAGTTGGTTACCATCCAATTATTGAGAAATTGGTGGTGAGTAGAGATGTAATCATCAGAGAAGCAGAATCCTGGAATTGGAACCAAGGTGGAGAAAGAACAACAGTGGTTCCAATGTAGGCTCCAATGTAGTTTTGATGAAGTGAATTCGGTCTCAACTGAGACTCTAGTTGAGACTGTGAATCCTACTCAAAGGGCAAAACCAACGAGAAACAAACAGATACCTACAAGACTGAATGATTATGAAATTGTTCCTGAAAATACATTGGATGAGGAAGGAGAAATAATAGAATTGGAAATGTTAGTAGGTGCAAAACCACTGAATTATCAGGATGTAATGCAAGACAAAGTGTGGAAAGATGCAATGAAGGGGGAACTTTGTTCAATTGAAAAATGTGGCACTTGGAAACTGACTCAACTACCAGAAAGAAAGAGGCTAATTGATGTAAAGTGAAATTTCAAAGCAAAGCTGAGTCCAGAAGGAACAATAGTGAAGTACAAATCAAGACTTGTGGCAAGGGGTTTCTTTCAAAGACAAAGTATGGATTACTCTGAGGTATTTGCACCAGTGGCAAGGCACGAGACTATAAGAGTTGTAGTTGCTTTAGCTTGTAGTAGAAGGTAGACTTTGTCACACATGGATGTAAAATATGCCTTTCTAAATGGTCCTCTTGATGAAGAGGTATATGTGTCTCAACCTTCAGGTTTTGAAGTTAAGGGAAAAAAGCATGTGGTGTATAGGTTATACAAGGCTTTGAAGCAGACACCAAGAGTCTGAAACAAGATAATTGATGTTTTCTTCATTAGTTAAGGTTTTAAAAAATGTTCAGTTGAATATGGTGTGTATGTAAAATATAATCAAGGTGAAATCCTATTGTTGGTGCATTTATATGTGGATGACCTCTTTATAACCGAAGAATCTCAACTAGAAATTAAAGGCCTCAAGAGTATAATGAAGTCATAATTTGAGATGTCAGATTTGGGTAACTTGCCCTAGTTCCTTGGTATGAAGTTTCTATACAAAGAAGGTGGAATAATATTGCATCAAGCAAAGTATTCTATTGACTTGCTGAAAAGATTCAACATGCTGAACTACAATGTAGCTGTGACTTGTTACTGAAAAGATTCAACAAGAAAAAGTATGTTATTGACTTACTGAAAAGATTCAGGTCAGAAGCTGGAAGAAGATAATGATGAAAAGAGGGTAAATGCCACCCCGTACAAGTAGATGATTGGATCATTGAGGTACTTATGCAATAGTCTACCAAATATCATCTTTGTTATATGAGTACTAAGCAGATTCATGCATGATCCAAAGAAGTCTCGTCTTCTGGCTGGAAAAATAATACTAAGATACATCAAGAAAACCTTGAGGCATGATGTATTCTTCTCATATGGATGAAAGAGAAGCAAAGAAGAGATTATAGGATTTTCTGATTCAGACTAGTGCGGTGACAAATTATACAGGAGAAATACCACAGGTCATGTCTTCAAGTTTCAAGGAGCTCCAATCTATTGGATATCCAAGAAGCAACCTATTGTGGCTCTGTCTAGCTGTGAGGCATAATACATTTCTAGTTGTTCAAATGCTTGCCAAGCTGCTTGGATTGAAGTTGTATTGACTGAACTTGGTGTAAACACTCAAGTACCAAGCAAGCTCCTTGTTGACAAAAAATTTGATATAAACTTAGCAAAGAATTGTGTCTCTCATGGAAGATCCAAGCATATTGAAACAAGGTTTCATTACATTAGGGAGCAAGTGAACAAAGGAAGGTTAACAACGAGGTATTATCGTACCAAGGAGCATATTATTGATATCTTGACTAAGGCTGTAAATGGAGAACAATTTTCTAAGCTAAAGATAAACATGGGAATAGTTTCATTTGATTCAGTGGTTGGAACTGCTTCTAGATAGCTTGCCTCTGATGCTTTGAGGGCTTCTAAATCATCAGCCTTTGAATGTGTCAGAGACTAGAACGACCTAGCCTTTGAAGGAGTCAAAGGAGGTAATAGCTCGGCCTCTAAAGCTTTGATAGCTTCTGAACCTCTAGCCTTTGGTGCAACTTTTGAAGAATAGTTGGAGTCTGAAGACGCAGAGTTTAAAGTAACAACTTCTGATGTGTATCACTTGGTGAAAGTTAAAATTAAGGAAGCTTGTTGTGTATTAATTCAAAGATTAGTTAGTTAGGTATTGCATGTGTGTGTGTGTGTATAAAATAACTACTTGAGTAGTTTTGTAACAATTTTACAATAACAAAACTTTCTCTTCTTCAATATCCATTACTCTCGTTCTTCCCTTTCATTCCAATACTCTCTATCTTTCTCTTAATTAACTTTCACATTAGTAAGGTGTGATAATACCAACACTCTAAACGCGCGGGACCAATAAAATCTCAAAAGAAATAAAATTGAGAGATAAAAACTAATTTTTAAAATAGAGAGATTAAAAATAAAAACCACCAGACTAAAGAAATAAAAAATTGCATTCAAACACTTTTTTTTACTTAAGTTTTTCTTCCTCAAATAATCCTTTATAGTTCTTCAAAAAGTGCATAAAAATCTTGAATTTAAATTTTTATTTTTTACTGACAATAATTCCTCCTTATAAGAATGAGATGAATAATTAAAAAAAAATATAGTGACGTGTTTATTAGGGGTGTATGCAGTACGGTTTTGACGTTAAAAATCATCTGAACTACAAGAGAAAAAAGCATGCAGTTCGGTATGGTTCTATTGGCTCTAAAAAATTAAACCAAACCAAACTAATGCTGTTGGATTGGTTCGGGGCGTTCGGTTTTTTACACACACAAAAATTGAACAATACATATACCTATAGAGAACATAACTTTGTGTTTAGTCATTCATACATTATCAAATAACAATAAAACTCATTATATTTAAACAAAAACTTCTCAGTCAATATACAAAAATAAAATTAGACAAAAGTGAAATAAAAAACATAAAATAGTAGCATAAAGTAATATAAAAAAATATTATAATAAAAAGAAAAAACAAAGGAGATAAGAGATTAGAGAAGATGGAAAAAAAAGAACATAAGAGGTGCGATATTAGAGAAGAAATGTGTGATAAAAACGTAATTGAAAGAGAAAACAATAACATAAAAATGAGAAGATGAAAAAGAAAGAACATAAAATAAGAGAGATTAGAGTAGAAGAGGTGAGACGTCCTTGACAAAGATGATGAGAAGAACGCATGATACTACTAAGAGAGATTTTAAAAGGTTGAAACTAAAATCCTAAACGTGAATAAGAGAATAGTTGCAAAGATAAGACATAATAGGTTTGAATTTTGTGATAAGTGAAATATGAGTTGTAACATAATGCGGTTTGGTTTAGTTCAATTTTCAAAATACAAACCGCAAAACGAACCGTGCGATTTTAAAAAATAACTCAAACACATCCGAAACAAATACAATTTTTTGTGATTTTGATTTGATTTAGTTTAGTTTGTAATTTTCTATTGAGTTAATTCGTTTTTAAACACCCCCTAAGAATGCATGATACTTACAACAATGAGCAAATAGCACGACCAGAGACAACTAAAAAATAAAAGCCATCAAGTTGTTTGAGATTTGCATGAGGAGGAATACGAATGAGAAATGAGTTTTAAAAGAGAAAAAACTATGTGAAAGATAAGATGAACAGTGCAATTGATTTTTTTTTTCAAAATCTGACATTCAAATATTAAATCGCTGATTTATCTAATATTTTTATCTAGTAATATATTAAATTTTAACCACACATCATCTCACTGATTATTAAACTATTTTTATTTCACATTACTCATATTTCTACGTGGCATAATTCTTAATTCATTTTTATTCATTTTCACTTTTTAATAAAGAAAAACACATAAATGTTTTCTATTAAAGGCCATGGTTTCAAATCCTATGCAAAAATGTATTCTTTTCATATATTTTCATATTTATATTTGTCTTTTTAGAATTTCTTAATTATTAAATGAAAATAATTAATACTTATTTATGTATCAACTATTTTACTTCATTAAAAACTTCATATAAATTTCACAACAATATTTTTTAAAATGTAATTTTATAAATAAATAAAAAAAGAAGTTTTAAAATTTTAATTTAAAAATTTCAAAAATTAACAAATAAAATAATAAATCATAAAACCTAAATGTTAAATCGCAGCCATTGAAATTTCATTTGCCGCACATCTATTTGAGAAACAGGACAGAAATCAGATAATATGAACGGAGCATATACAAACTCAAATAAGTAGTGATGCTTATGAACAGCAATGAAAATATTAAATATACTTTTGAAAATGGCGGCTTTGTAGAAATATAATAGAGGCATTCCAATGTTCAAATTACTGAAACTTTGTTCAGAGTAAAAACCAGGATAATTTATAACAAGATTTCTACTAGTGATAAGAAATGTAATTGAACAATAATATCACCCGAATCGGCCTGAAACAAGAAAACAATTGTTGGTGTCTTTGCTGTCTGGTTAAACGTCAGCTGTGTAGTCCTCAGGTTTGTACCATAATGAGAAATCAATTCCCTTGCTTTTTAATTTCTCAGTTGCAGGTCCAATTCTCTCCAGAAGCTGTCAAATACACATAAAAACACTATGGTAATATTCAAACTGCAATATTCAAACAAGAAATATAAAGTGAGTCAATGAACTTGATAGGGAGGGACCCTATGGTAGTTGTGAACTCTGTTGCTAACAAACCCCCAATATGGTGGGTTTACTCGAGGAAAAATAAGAGGTGTCCACGGGAGAATTTGAGTTAGTTATAACATGTTCTCATAGAATATTCTCGAAGAGTATTTGAAGGGGGTACGAAGGGAAGAGTGGGGTAGAGAAAATACTGTCGAGTTTGTTAGGAGGGGTTCTCTCTCCGGTTTAGGAGTCACCGACTTTGGTTGTTACTTTCTTGTAGTGCTTTGCTCCTTGTTTTTCTTCAACAACACTCTATATTCCATTGATTCTCTTCTTGATCCTATGAGAACTCATAATGAACTTCAACATCAACCTTAGAAGAATAAAGGATCATTCTCTCTTGCATTAGCTCAATTCAGTTAAAAGCTTATATACAAAGTTATGAGGGATCACCATAACCAACTAACTAAGTTCTAGATGATTGTTACTAACATGACAAGTAACTAACCATAACTGAATCATAACTAACTAAATGCCTAGTAATTAACTGCTAACTTCTTCCTCTTCATCATGTAATGCTATCAATGAAGAATATAAAATTTAATAATTTAATATTAGCATATGATGTGGCAAGATGTTAGAGGCAACATGAAAATGTCAAAGTGTTATGAATAGTCTCAATACCACCAAGGAGTTTTACAATCATATCTAGCTTAGTTGTCAATTCTAGATCAGGCTGACCCCAAGTTAGTATTAGCCTGTTTGTTCACATTTCAGCTCACCCCAACTCGAAAAAAAACAAATTACTGAGGATTCTATATTTTACAAAAACACACAATTTTGACCATAACAATTAAAATGGTTAACACAATTCAAATATGTGGTCAAATATATTCATTGGAGGATGAATGAATATAATAAGATATCACAATTTAAATACATTAACCATAACTTTCAAAGTTTAAATGTACTTAATATACATTTATCATTCTAAATGTGTTTAAATATAAATTATTTTCCAATATTCAAATGTTTATGATATTTGTTAATCACAACTTTGTTCAATTATACACCTGAAAATAGTGATTAATGACGTTCAAAATCGTGGTTAATTGTGTTCTTGGATGATTAATTAGTTGTAATGGCTAGTAATATCTATTAACCATCCGCTAGACATAGTTAATAATGTATTTGTACTATGTCAACCATTCAAATTATTATAGAAAGTTCTCTTTTTGAGCCAAAACCATAAAACTCTTATTCTCAAAGCCTAGAGATGGCTTGCTTTTAACAAAATTAATTTGAAACCTCCAAAGGATGTATGTATATGGTGAATAACACTAAGGTTTTGTTTGGAAGTTTGGAGGGGAAGAGAGGGGAGGACTTTGAAAAAAGAGAAGAATTGAGTGAAAAGAATAGAAAGATTTAGGTGGGGAGGGTTTTGGGGAATTTATTTTTATTCATAAACCAAAATCCCCCTAATTTGGAGGAAAATTGTATTGGAGGAGTAGTTTGGAGGGCATATACAAATTGTTCAAATATAATTATGTTGTTATAGTGTTCCAAAAATTAAAAATACGTTAATCATAAGCACTCTTTTATTATTCTAAACATAATCCTTTTTTCAAAAAATATTAAAGATTTGTCTATATTTAAAAAAAAAATCGTTTTTTGAAGCCCTCCCTTCCCATCCTCTCCAAACTCCCAAACAAAGCCTAATGTGTTACTCCTTTACTGATTTTGTTTTTAGCAAAGAACCAATTTGTTTTCTAATAAATGAACAAATTTGTAGTTGAAATGTTGTAGGTTGGGCTGAATTATGACTTATAAGGAAGCTTTATCCCCACGAGGAATGGAAGCGCTTGAGCCAACAACTGACAAATATGAATAACTTACAGATTTAACAGAAGCTCCGTTTCTATGAAGAAACTTGTTTACGTATCAATTTGCAAGGTTGTTGACTAAGATGAATTAAGGAATGATAAAGTAGCCAGTAGAAAATATTTCAAAATGTTAATAACTCATTAGAGCAGGTAAAATGGACCACAAATTCGTTGTTAAAAAAAGTTGCAACTTAAACATATCCCAATAGCAAAATCAGAGACTAACCTTTCCATGTAGCGCACCATTTGAAACCAAAACAGATCTATCAAAAACACAAAATTTTCCGCCATCCATTCGAGAAACTGTGCCACCAGCTTCCTCTACCATCTATAAGTTAATGAAAAAACTGTAAGCAAAATTACCACAAGTATGTGATTCAATAAATGGTGAAAGCTTTTCATAGATATCATAATGCCCATAAGCCATCTTTCTGATTATAACCCTGCTTTTGTCAACTCTGAAGGAAGCACGGCGGCCGCCCAGAGCAGGAAGGTGACTGGCAGGATTCAGGCTCATGCTGTCTGTGGGCAGTACCCGTTTTATATTCTCAGTCTCAAATTTTGTAAATTCAATTGATTTTTGTTGGACAGTGATTTAACTAATGTATAATTTTAATTTTATATGCGGATCGTAAACGTATTGAATCCTATATATTCCAATGACTGACGTATTGCAATATCGGATATGTATCATATCCGATACATGCATCGTGTCCGTGCTTCAACAGATGATCTGGGCTCATTAATTTAATCCTGAAATTCAGGGATCTTGATTCTGTTTTCACTTGTATTTGATTGTACAAATTCTTGAATAATGTGTGAAATATTCAGATTCCAGTTGCTCTTATTGTTCTTAAACTAGAGCCTTTGAATTTGTGAGCCTTCTCTAACAGAACTTCCTGCTATAATCCTTAGACAAATAAGTTCTAGCATGTCTGTTCGTTTGGAAAATTACTTTTCCATACAAAACCCAAACACATAATTCAATCTCAAAAGTAGGCCTAAAGAGTAATTGTTGATAATGTACAACTCACCAAAACACCAGCAGCCATATCCCATGGCTTTAGACGATATTCCCAATAAGCTTCTACGATTCCTAAAGCCACATGACACATATCCACTGCAGCTGCACCAAGCCGTCTTACACCCTAAGAATCAAAATCAAGAAAATGATTAGTGAAAGGCAAAGAAATGGGAAACATATTTTGTTTATATTAGATAAATACCCTGCTGACGTCTGTAAATTCTTTGAATAAGTCTATGTTAGTTGCCCAGGCTTCATCATGATCATACCCAAAACCCGTCACTAGAAGAGATCGTTCCACCTAAGAAAAAAATAACACCGAAATAATGATATGATACAGGATTGAGCAGTTCACTTTCTGTATTATAAGGTATTATTTAGTCATAATCACCTGATTAGTTGCACTAACTTGGATCCTTTGGCCGTTGCAGAATGCTCCACCGCCTACAAGGTACGCAAGAGAATTATATCAAGGAAAAAACTATACTGTTATTGATAAAACTAATCACTAGAAAGAGAAAACAAGTTTGCTAAATAAATTTTAGTTTCTCTAAGGGGTTGATAAAAGTTGGAATAGAAATTTATTTCACCAGCAGTTGCAGTGAAAATGCGAGTATTCCAACACATAGGACCGCCAACAAACTCAACCTGAAATTAATAAAATTTTATTAGCATATCATGTTCTGTCCTAATTATGTTTTCTCTATTATTTAGCATAATAGAAAATTAAGTAGACATTAGATACTATTTCATATCTGATGAGCAGTCACACATCTAAAGTTATAAGTTTCTCCTATATTAAACGAAAAGGAAAGAGCAGATGGGAATTTCTAGGACAGCCATATTTTCCTTCTTGGATCTGCGATTTCAATATAAGGTATGGGGAGAGACAGTGACCGATGTATATGGGGATATCAATTGAGGTTAGACACTCCTCATGACTCCAAATTTTCTAATTATGCTTTTAATTGTATTTGATAACCCTTGTATGAGCAAGGGGTATGACTGCAGTGCAGTGACAAATGGTTTGGATTCTGATCATCACAAGAGTAATGATCTGAAAATTGTGCAATGCTTATGATTTTGAGTTGTTTATGGTATGCTTGATCTATCTAGAATCTGTTTAGAGATGATAAGAAATTCAAATAACATCCTGCCACAGCTATCCCTTTATCCCAGGTTCAGGATCGCCGCTCCACTATCTAGGATAGACATCTATGAGTTAGATACGTCATCCACAATCATCACAGTAATGTCATTTCCACAGATGACTCAAGATGAATAGTGGCTGCCAGACCCTAATGGGATAAAGATTAAAGTATTTGTTTCTTCAGCAAATCAAATATTCTGCCATGGAATTTAATATCCTTCGTCATACCACTCCATCAGAAAATAGCTGATTTTCTACACGGAAATTTAGTGGTGTGAATGGAGGTTCTTCTAGGACGTGGCCGTAAATGGAAGAAACGAGGCATGGAGACTATGGAATCGTATAAAGATGCAAAATGAACGACTAGAAGGTTGGCTTATGATACGCTTTTTAGAGGATATCTTGTTAAATGGAGAAGAAAAAAAAAGTGTAGTTGTTTAATCAAGCACTGAAGAAAAAAAAAGTGTAGTTGCATTAGCCAACATGAAATAGAAGTAAAAGATAAGAATAAATTACCACTGTAGCAGCAGTAGGTCTTCCTCGATATAGAACCCCAACAGAAACTGCAAAGCTGGGATAGCCATGTGCAAAGTTTGTTGTCCCATCTACAAAATTATACAAGATTTGTAATCGAAATATCCAAATTCCAAGTGATGCATATAACAGCTAATACATGAGAATCATACAGTCAGAAATAACATATTCCAATAGAGGGAATAATCTGTTATATGTTATAATTACAAATTTTTTTGTAATAAAATACATATATTTAGTCAACTCCAGCAAAAAGGAATTTCCGTTGAACAATAGAGTAAAGGAACTGAGAATACATACACACACAAACTCTTTTTTATTAAAGAGTATTATGAAAATTGTTAGGCCAAAAACCTCAAAATCATTCATCGGCACATATATTGGAGTCCCAGTGTTATTCTGGAATTGAAAAAATCCAAATCCCTTGATTTAGGGAATATATACTAGAGACAAGATAGCCAAAACTTAATTACAGTTACAACTTCCTAGTGTCCGTGGGTGCTTCATTGCACATAGTTACATTCAATTATTCAATTTTCTCAAACTATTAACGGTGTCTACGTGTCAATGCTTCATAAAATAGGATGCATGCTACGAATGAAGGAAGAACATAAGTCTTAGAATTTAAGTTGGGTCAAACTCATCCCTACAAAACCGGCTTGTAAGATGAGGATTGTCCTCACTTATCAACACAACAGAGGTCATATCTCTAAACAATTTGGACTAAATCCACCCCTTCAAATCCAACACAATGAAGGTGTTGGAGACTGCAATGAAGGCAAGTCAAATGTCACAATTAGGCGACTAAGGGCGGACCGCAATGAAGACGGAAATTCCAACACACACCCTCTTGCTCAAGTCTCAATGAGACTGAAGCGTGGACGGTGCGAAAAAGCCAAACAACGAATCTACGATAGCCTCTGATACCATCATATAATTTGGGTTGGGCCTAACTCATCCCTACAAAACCAACTTGAAAGACGAGGATTGCCTCCACTTATAAACACAAGACATGTCATATCTCCAAGCTATGTGGAGCTAAATCCACCCCTTCAAATCCAACACAATGAAGGCAAGCCAAATGACACAAATAGGCGACTAGGGGTGGACCGCAATGAAGGCGGAAATTCCAACAATAACAAAGTTCAATTGATGCCTTTCTATCAAAGAAACTACGAATTCAAATAAGGCATGTGTGAAGAAATATATTTGAATGCCAGATTCTAGTTTCTATGTAAACTTGTATGCTCTAAAGGAGCATTGAACGAAATCACAAACCTAAGGGATCAATGCACCAGAGATAATCAGAAGCTACTTCTCCTATAATGCCTCCTTCTTCCCCAAGAATAAGGTGATCTTCAAAATTCTTTTTCACCACTTCTAATATGGAAGCTTCACTCATTTTATCCGTCCTGTTAATTTACAAATGACTCTTGTTTGGTTAAAGAGACAAAGAAAACATGCAAAAAAATTATCAGTGCAATAAGTTGAAGATCAACAACAAAAGGAGCTTTCAGTAAAAAAAAATAAAACAATAAAGAGGAGCTTAGAGTTCAAAGTTAATATTTATCAAGCACATAATATTTGCAGCACACAACAGAGCTTTAACAAAAATAAACACCGTGCAAGTCAAAGATTGTCCGGCCATTTATATAATATAACTAACTGAGAACAGGAAGAAAGGCCATAGAGGAGAGAACCGATAGATCATTCTGATAAATTCATTTGAAGTTTTGAACATCAAAGAAGATAAGCATTAATTGGAGATTCAATAAGACCTTACTCAGTCACCAAGTCAGTTAATCCTTTATATGTAATATTCCGCGGCTTATTAACAGCATCCATCACAACCTGTATATGACAAAGTGGTGGAATTCATATAAAGACGACTGGATGTCAAAAGTCAAAACCCTACTCAACTAGGAAAAAAATACAATGCCATAGTTAGTGATAATGCAGTATACAGCGGAAATTTAACTGAAACAGCCCAAATCTGTAAGCCAGTCATATTACAGAAAGTTACCTAGTGGTGGCTAAGTAATATATATCTTGACAAATAAATCAATACCACAAATTGTACTTTCCTATGAGTCTCACCTAGTGTATACACAAGTATAACTATGGTGCCTACTCTATTTAAGAGTGTCTTCACGACATTGATGTCCTAAAAGGCTAAAACTTAAGAAACAGATGATAATCAATAATTAGACTTTGTTGACAAACATGCCCCTTAATGAATTAAAAATGTTCTTAATTCTATATATCTCAGATAGTGGCGTGGTGCAGCCATTCCCCAAAAGGGAATGGTACGGGAGCGGGGAGCGGAATGGCCAATATTTTAGAGACACATATACTAATACAATTAATACTAATGAACACATAATTGTTAAAAACTAAAATAAATCAATCAAAATTCATGAAGTATTCATATTTAGAAATAAAAACCATAAGTCTTAAGCAATACATACTTCAAAATACCAAAAAAAAAAATTAATAAAATAACCTTGCCACCTTTAAAAAATTAAGGGTAATATCATATATGACTGGAGTGGCCACGTCAGAGCGGCGTCATTCCGAATCCAATACCACTATCATGGTCGTTCCAGCCGAGTCTCCCATCTGTGGCAGAAACGGCACGACTTAACGCGATTTTCTTGGTTTTGTTGTTCCATGCCGAGATAACGGCTGGAACAGCCGAGTTTGATAACATAGCTTAATTATTGTAAGAAGCTGTTAGCTGACCAAATCAGGAATTTTGGTGGCATGGAAGAGTGAGAAGCAAAATGTAGTTGCATGATCAAACATAGAGATGAAATTTATAGCTATGGCTCAAAGGCTTTTATGGCATTTACATACCTTAGTCTAAAGTATACCTTTGCTTCTGTACAGAATCAAAAGTGAAATTATATTCAGTTAACCTTCTCCACATCTTTACTAGTTCTAAACTTCTAATGAACATTATAGTATAAGTCTCCCTCTCTCTATTCCATGATTACAGAAACCAATTTAAATGCTATTCTTCTATGGTTTTTACCATGTATCCTAGAATTTGTACAAAGCCGGAAGCAAGAGAATGGCAGTATCATCCAAAGCAAAACAAGTGCAAGTATAGGAAATATGAAAAACTTACCGAAATGTTCAAATCTACATGGAGTTGGAACGATTGAAATCATGGTTAATAATATTAAATTTGTTGGTTAGTTAAATTGAACCTGAGCACCGGTCTGAGCAGCAGTTGTGGCGACTTGAATGAGATGAGAAGGTGGAATAGGTCCGGTGGAGGTTGAAGCAATCCTTGTGTAAATTTCAGATTGCAAAGAGTTGTTACATTTCAAGCTCCAACTTCCAATTCGACGGCACGGAGAGGTTTGACGGTAAGTAGGAAATAGTGAAGAAATTTTTGTAGCTGAGGAGAATACAATCGACATCACGATTGCTAATGAGCTCTTGTTCTCAGATTGTGTTTCGTCAAGGAGAAATCACTCTGGAAACTCCTCCACTGGTTTGTAATATATAAAAAGAGGTTATCAATTATTATTTGTTTCTTTTAAATAAATAAGGTTATGAATTATAAAATAAAAATATGGTATAAAAGGCAGAGAGGACTCAGTTCAACCTCCCACTCTCAAATTATTGTTTCTGCATAAAAATACTCCAAATTTTTATAGAAAATTTTGTATAGTTATAATGAAAATTTCGGTATTGAGGGATATTTTCGGTAGTGTATTTGAAATTTTTGGTGACTTGCAAATATTTTTGAAATTTTGAAATTTACATATTGATATTGAAAGTTTCAATCTAAATGAAATTTCTGGTAATGTTATTTGTTTGAGTTTTTTGGATGATCGGGATTTTACCGACTATTTTAAATGGTTGTGATTGCACCGACTGTTTGTGTGGTTTTGAATAAATAAAAAGTTATTTAAATATGGGTCACGTGTTTTGTTTGATAAAGGCATCTCAAAAAATGTCTCTTTCTCAATTTTTTATTAAGACAAAAGTGTACTTCAATTAAGAGTTCTCCTCCTATAGAGTTTCGGCTTCCGGATATCACCACATCTTTTGCAGGTCTGACGTCGAAGTTGAATGAATTGTTGTCTGATGTTGAAAACAGAAAGGTGAGAAAGATAGAGTTTCGTAAAGATTGGATTGATACTAACGGAATGGTGAAATACAACCTTATTAAGTTGAAGACCGACGAAAATGTGAAGGAAATGTGGATGCTGAAACGTCCAGAAGCATCTTGTAGTGTTTAGGTTTTTCTTATTTATTAATCATATTGTAGTGTTAAGTTTTTTCTTTTTAAGTTATGTAATCCATTGTCAAATGTTAGTTAATGTTCATATTGTAATTTAAGGAAGATCAATACTATTAGCAAATAAAGATGTCTGAATAATATACAAATGAAGATTTATGAATAATATACAAATGATACAAATAATACAAAAGATATCTAAATAGGACCCCCGCGGGCTACGTGTCTAGCCCGATATAATCCAGTATAAACCTCTACATATGGGTTTACCAAACCCATGAGATTATCCATAATAACTACAATCATCTGAAGGTGGTGTTGGTCATCGGCGTGATCTGCAGGAGGAGGCGACGACGACACGTCATTAATAGGTACCTCGTCATCAGAAGGCCCAACATCAGTTATAAGTGACGTGATGCGAGGGTGTGATACAGTGAGGTACCACTCTAAAGAACCATCCTCAAACTACAAGAGGTGTTGAACATTGACTGCTCGATCTCTAATGGAACAACCAGAGCTGATAAAGTTACTTTGAAACCACCAATAAATACTTGAAGATGGTATATCTGGAGCTGATTGTGGAAAACTTTAAACATAACCATATTGTCGCAAGCACCTCTCAAGAAAGTGTCTAGCAACCATGGTCTTCCACCGCATATAACCTAAATATAATGACGACTACTCGAACTCACGGTGGACTTTATGACCAGTGTATGGTGTCCAAATGACATCATCTACCATCAGCGCATCGAGCCTCCTCGTGTACTCAGCAACACCACCGGAATGTGTCTGCCTGACCTTCCATCTCTTCGCCCATAAGTACCCCACCTCATAATGTTACACCCTCCTGTCATAGATGGTGGGAAATGCTCGTATGTTCAACACTGATATCAAAACAGAAACACAACAAATACTAAATAAGAAAAGATGTTCATAACAATTAAATAAGAAATCAACAATGAATAATAATTTCAAGTATACTTGTAACATACTCAAATAACTAGCAAGTTGTCTGATCTCAAAGACCGTCGTCACTCTAAGGGTTGTATACAACTAAGTCAACACAACACATACCTAAGCTTAACTGGTGTCTTGGAGGCTACTGAAGAGGCACACGTATCGGGCATCGATATAAATACTAGACTTGTCTGCAAAGAGAGTACATGCTATTATATGTAACATGCACGCCCTAGCGATAGTCCCATACCTCCAAGAAGCTACAAGTTGATCGTATGTCTTCCAAAGCCAAGACATACGAAGATGGGCACCCCTGGTCTCACCAAACTCCTTCTGCACCTCTGCCTCAGACGATCCCAATTCTCATGCAACAACCTAACATGCAAGCGTCATGCTAAGAACGAGAGTTGTCCAGAATTCATCGCCGATGGAGAGATGGAACAATACAGAGACATCATCCAGAATGATAGTCATCTCCCCAAACAAAAGATAAAATGATGATTTCTTCTTGTGCCACCTCTCAACAAACGCACTAAGTAATGGAGCGTCGAGCATGGTGAAGGAACACTGTGCAAAATCAAGCAGCTGAAAGTCCCGTGTAATCTGACTAACCTGCTCAGGCATCAAAATATTTGGGAAGTCCCTCATCTTCGACCCTTGCGATGTCACCTTCACTATGGGTTGTTCATGTGACAAGAATAAATAAACAAATTAGTTGATACCTCCGGTGACAAACATATATAAAAAAAATTGAAGTTAAACACAAAAGACATATACCTCGCCCTGCCATAGACGTAAGGCCACATGCTCAGCATACTCTATAAGCATCGATCGGTCAATGGGTCCTCCAGGGAATCCTCCATCTGTGTGCACAGAGGACTCAGTCGAAGGAGTCGTAACCTTTGTGTCAGCAATAATCGATGGAACCGACTCAACAACAACAACATTTGGCTGGACCACTCGAGTAACCTCCTCCCTACCAACCTCATCATCAATTAGATCAGAAACCGACTTAACAGGTGTATCAACAACCAAATGATCCACAAGATCAGATACAGTAGCATCTGACACCGCCTCATTTGTAGACTGCTCTACTGATCGAATTGGCCAGCGTCGAGTGGAACAAGGTGCCCGAAACTGACACCACTCAGCCAACCGCTTCTGGTGTGAACCGGTTATGGCCACTTGTCTTGCTCGTATCTGAAAAGACTCAACATCAACACCCCTCATAGCCCTACTCTAATATGTCTCTTGATCAACAGCTCTCCCTGCAATAATGTTTTTTACACCTCAAGAATTCGCTGTAAAGGAAGAAGAAAAATTCAAAATTTAAAAAAAGTGGCAACTATCGTAAATTTCAAAATTTCTGGTACAAAATTTTTTTTTTACACATACCAGAAATTTCGAAACTTTCGGCACTAAAACCATGGCATATACCGGAAATTTCATAATTTCCAGTACAAAACCAGATTTTTATAATTACCGAAAATTTTGAAATTTATGATATAAAGAATGGAATTCGTACTGAAAATTTTGAAATTTCCGGTAGCTCGCTCGAAATTTTTAGTATCGCCCTACAGATTTCAAATTTCCGCCTCAACACTGTGAATTTCAAAAATTTTGGAAATGATTTTGCAGAGTCAGTATTGTCTTTTCATACACTTTGAAAGGGTGTCAAGTTAAATTCTCAGACTCTCCAAAGGGAAACAAATTTTAACAAAAAGGCAAGGTAAGCTTATTTTTTTACAAAATCATTTCTAATTTTAGTAGGTATGGGTGGACAAATACATGTGGTATGCTCCAAATCGTAAAAATCGACCCTAAATATTGAGATGCAGGCGGGTGTAAATGGATTTCAGGTCTACATGTTCAATTTAATCAGTTATATGCAGTTTTGAATGAGCGGATCAGTTTTTATAAATTCATCGGTCGATGACCGCACACACCTGAATTATTATACATAAAGTTATTAATTTCACTTAATTCTGGTATAGTAATTGTGAACAAAGAATGACAACTTGTACCTAATCCTTTAATAGTCAAAACCTATAGCTAAATAATGATTGTAGTTATATCTAGGTAATAGGCTTTTGTTTAAATTTTAATATTATAAGGAAAATTATATGAGAAACATTTTCTTTTGTTCACTATACAAAAACAAAAACTTTAAGCTTCAACGTGAACCCCCCCCCCCCTCTCTCTCTCTCTCTCTCTCTGCCTTCACACCATCATATCAGACCTTTCTCCTCAAAATAAACTTCTTTAAACACTATCTTTTCTAATCTTCTCTCTCGAGATGAGAATTGAAACTGTGAAAAAAAATAATACTATAGAAGAAATCGAGGATAAAATTACTTACAATGGAATACCATTGTTGGTGCACAAGAATAATGAAGAGAGAGAGAGAGAGAGAGAGAGAGAGAGAGAGAGAGAGAGAGAGAGAGAGAGAGAGAGAGAGAGAGAGAGAGAGAGAGAGAGATGTTGTAACTATCTTTTAGATGCAAAAAATGGTTACACTTCAGAATCTGTTACAAACTGAATTAAACCCAATTTATATACTATTAGAACCTACTAAATTAAATTCAAATGAAAACTCTAAATGCAAACTCTAAATGCAATTCAAGCACTTTATTTTGAATCTGATTTTCCAGAAATTGGAACTTCGTGACAATGTGTTTGCTCCTTCCATGCATCACTAGATTCTTGACAGGACTTTAGTTGTTTTGTTGCCAATCATCAACTTCATAGGCTTGATCACCTTGATTTTTATTTGTTGCAACAAGTTCAGAACCCAAACAGCTTGAAACGCAAACAAAGCACAAATAATGTACTCAGCTTCACAAGTTGATAATTCAACCACTAGAATTCTCGGAGCACCAAGAAATGGGATCTCCTAAATACTTGAAGAAATATCCAAAAGTGCTTCTTATGTCAACTCTGTCTCCACATCAAAAGAAACTCAATATCTTAACAGACGGGTTGTGGTTAACTGAGAAAAAGGGTGATTGGTTCAAACAGGCGGACTGTGATTGACCAAAATGTGGGTGTTTAACCAATAGAAGGTGATTAACCCAAAGACAACGCTGGTTTTAACGGGTAGACCGTGATCAACCAAAGATCGGGTGATCACCCATAAGAAGGAGATTAACCCAAAAAAGTTCAGTATTAACAGATGGACTGTGATTAACTGAGGAAAAGATGACATGTGCTTAACTA